ATAACGTAACAGCCTGTATTTTGCCCCATCAATAGACATGATAGAGTATAACATATATTTTCTGTAGTCGAAATATTACAACATAAAAATCACTGACCTAGTAAAAACCCAAAGTTTTTAAAGGCAATAATTCACATACTTGGCAAACAATGTTTAGTAAGATGGTACTCAAAAATAATTTCATACTTTTCAAAGACAGGTTCATATCATTCTATTGATGGTACAAGTTACAGGCCTGTGTTTTATCAATTTTAGATTATTCGAGGATCAGCATTGTCACAAGATTTCACTTCAATATGCTAGACAATAATGAAGTTTTTCAGTTAAGTTTGCAAAATCCCAAGGTTTCTTCTGTGTGGGCACTAGTTACTTTTAAATAAGTCAAAGTAACAAAATGGAGGACCTGCCTGTATTCGAATTTGTAAGACTTTTGTTTTGAAAGTCCTATATATTATACAAGTCAAGTTACAGATTGTAATTTGCCTCTTTAGTCTAGTTTTAGAGACATGGTTGATAATTTGATTTTAAAGCCTACTAGACCTGGGGCCTAAAACTAGGTTTAAATCGAAAAAAACACGAAAATCTTACCCAACTCAAACTTAGGCAGTTCCTCCGATTTGTTACTTTGATGTTACATCAATGTAACTTCTAGTTGGAGAATGGTGCCATTGATAATGTTAATGAAATAAATCAAAATTAAATATTAGGATTGATTGCTCCATAAATTGACAAAGTTGGTGATCTTCCTTTGGTTAATATTCCAACTCTCAGTCATGTCAGTATTTGTATGAATGATTAAGGAAAACCATGAAGTTACTTTGTAACACAATTTATTGTATATTTTCTTTGACAATTTAAAAACTTTTAATACAAATAGTACGGCAATTACAACCAAACTACATACAGACACAACAATGAACAGCCTGCTGTTTTCTCATCCCTACATGGATTTCTAGAACATCTCTCGGTCTCACTTCTCCAAGAGAGGGGACTGAACCTGCTGAACACATCATAGTAGGGTACACTGAGGCAGATGGACACAAAGTCCATGTGTTATACTCATGTAAACATGTACTTTAATTTTTGAGTTCAAACCAAATATATGACAAAATTGTATCATTTACAGAACGTACATTTACAGAACAAGTTAGTTTTGTCATTTATTTAGTCTATTGATGCTATGAATGAGATTGCTACGATGTGTCCACTTTGACGTGTCCATTATGATGTGTCCAGTAGGGTTCAACAATATATCGCATCTGGTGGGTCAAGGCTCGGGGGGTGGGAGGATGAGAGGCAAAGTGACACATCTTTCACATCCACAGATTTGAACACGTTAATTCATTGTAGAGTCAAATAGGATATTTGAATTTCTCCATTGATTTTAGTAATACTGTCATACTTGTACAATTAGTAAGATCACAGATATCAATTATGAAGCTACACTGACTAGGTCTACATGCATGCACATACTGAGCAAACTGCATATATATGCACAATCAAGATCACATATTTCATTGAGCACTGCCTAGTTATGTCACGCTTGCACCCCCCTCCCCACCACCCACCAAGCCTCCAATCATCAAGAGACCCACAGCCACAGACTGCTGTTGTGTGAGCTAGGCTCTCATGTAGACTGGTTCCAAATCGCACCAAAGGGGTTGTAAAATGACAGCTTTCTCAGATGTGAGGTGAGATTCAAAATTCTCCAACTTTCAAGATTTATCAAGAGCCCTACAAAGCACATCCTTGCAGAGCAGACATTCAAAATTTCTTCAAAAATTCATAAATATCAAGAAGCAGTTTGCATATTGCTTTTAATATGATACAAACCACTGATATGAACATATCAACATTGTGCACTTGGCTTTGAACTGTTACTTAACACTTGAAATTTTGGGTTGCTTGCTTTATCAAGGATTTGCTTTTTAGGACTTGCTCCAAAAATCTGTCTAAAACTCAACACAGACTTTTTCATACTGGACATAAAGCAATAAGAAACAGGAAGAATTATATAACAACTAGTCGAAGAGGATAATATTGGAATGCTCTAAAAGACTAGTTTAAAACAACAAACTCTTAATAATATGTACCCTAGGTTCAATCAGGCCTCGTTTATATTCAATTACAAAATTGAATATTTTCATTCCATTACCTTTGGTAAGTTTTAGCATAAACATCTAGGTTTAAAATTGCACCAGTGTATGACAAGATAAAATTGCACGGTCCATGTGTGTGTGGAAGTCTATGTACAAAAGACAAGAGTCTACCTATCTAGAGTGCAGTATTGAACACTTCAACCTCATGGTTGATAACTAGGCCTATAATTTGCTATATTGGCAATATTTGCATGCGTTTCACATGCTTGGGACTAAAACTTCAGATCCTGTGTTTTCACGTACACAGATCTTTGGCACTGTTCAATGTCAGTACCACAATAGGCCCCTAGGGTACAGAATACAAATCGAACCTTAACTACAACTATAATAGAGTCTTAACTATATATAATTATAATAATTCTCTAGAGGAAAAATCTTAAGTAGATGAAAATCATCGAGCTTCTGTAAACCAAACAATCATAACTTGGCAGCTGTCTTAAAGGATTCAATTCTTTTATCAGCATTCTAGATACTTATTTACCATCAATAGTCTGCAATAAAGGGGGCGCTACTGGTGCCTAGCTAGAGTCACGCTGACCTTCTAGCCATCATGCAATAATTCAACTCACTTAATGATATCCCCAGAATTGCTCACACCAAAGGGGTGGGACTACCAATAGCAACAGCCCTTCATTATTGGGGGATGGGGTGGATCTGTTAATTAGAACAGCCGCCTCCACTTGAATCACTTTTACATGATCATTGAGAATACTGTAATTGCAACTTATTGATTGAGAAACACTGACTGCAGCTGCAAACAATCAAAGAGTCCCCTTCGATAAAAAGACTAAAATCCATGCTTCGAATAATAGACTTTGAATATAAGCAAACTTGAAATACTTAACTACATGCTTAACAAAGTGACATGGTTGTTAAAACTCGTTGTTCTACAAGTGATTAATGATTGTACAAGAATACCATCTAAGATTTGTCCAAATAACATCAGTAGAAAATAGATCTCTTTCTTTCATGATTATAACAGTCATCTATAATATCTAATGCTTACAGGCATACCCCTTTCAAAAAACGCCAGGGTCTTGCTTGCATATCACTTACTTCATTTGGAAAATCTCAGTCTTGCAAGTGTAGGTACAACGCCCACACCAAAGTGGGGTCACATCGGTGTACAGACATAAGCTATATACGCACGATACACGCATGACGGCTAGGTACCCCCACGAAAGCCCCAATCTGTTTATAAATCTGGCTTTTGAAAAACTGCATATTAAATCCAGGTCTTCAGTGTGGGTGCCTAACCTAGCTTTTAGGCGTCTGAATTCAAATAATTAAGACCCTCTCTTTTCACTTTTCTTTTAAATCAAAATAGAGGGGCTGGATTAAAGTGCAAGCCCTAGTAAGCCTCGAAGCACTATGAATTCATTTGTAATAGTACATTGTCACTAGTTAGCATTCTTCTAGCAATGTCCAGGAATGTATATCTCCTACATCCCATCATATTTTGACACTTAGCATATAATATCCTGAATTTGTGTATAATTCACCCAACCTTTGAGGTTATCAATTTCAAGTATTAAAGTTCTATAGAATCATTATCAAAACTGTATGTCTACTAACAAGTCAATATTGTTGACTAACAATTTATATACAGTATAACAAATATTTGATTGAACCAGCTCTTATATATGAAAGTTGAGTTGGCGTAAGAAAAAGATGCATGTTAAATGGAAGAACATTGGTCAGCTGCCCCCACCTGCCGTATCCCCTAGCAACACTGTCTGTTGGCTCCACCTATCCGACACAAGCAAATTTAAAGCAGCCAGAACTGGCTGGGACAAAACTAGGGCACCCCAAAATCAGACAACTCAAAGTTATGAACATTTGACTAGACAATTCATTAATGGATTATAATATATGGTTATGGGTTAATTACATAGAATAAATTATGAATACATAATATAATGCAATCAAAAATAAATATAAGTCAAAATTCATTCGTTACTCTAATGTATTAGTTAGGTTGTGTTAGTATAATAATATATATATTCACTACGACTAATATAATGCAGGAATGTTTCCTTAAAGTTGCCACACACACGAACACCACCAGCACGATCACTACATTATTGCCTAATATCGTTGTCTAGGTTTGGCACATTTTAAAGAAACATAGAGTAGTCATATAGCTAGAACTAAACAATGTGTGCCAAATAAATGGTCATCCGAGACGCACACACATATTACTGTAAATAGAAATAAAGAAGTAACAGAAAATATATGTAGGATGAAGATTAAATAAAATTTAATTCACCATATCTTGATGAAAAGACAATAATATAATAATAATAATATTAAATAAATAATAATGAGATACTTAACTCCACATAGTAATACTGGACCAATGAGAAGCTTTGGTGACCATGGTATCCATGGCAACATTACTATGGCAACACAATATACAAGCTAAATACACAACATCGTTTATGCCACAAATAAAAATGTAATAATAATGTAAAAGTTGTGTAAACTGCTCTAAGAAAGATGGCCACTGTGCTGTCAATCACTGTTGGCTCGTTCTGGCTTTTAATTTCTGTACATGCCACCAAACCAACCAATGAGAGACAAGAGATTATCTACTTATAGTAATATCAAATAATATTAACAGGCAAAAACCTTATTCAAACAAGGCTATAAATAAAGTCCAATGTACATTGGAAAATAATATTCCATAAATTATGCGTTAAGAATAATGTCTTTGTTAAAACCCCTCCAAACTTAAATATATAATGTCGGGACAAAACAATAACTAAAAGTTTGATTTAAATTTGCCATGTGTGGAGACAGTTTTGACCACTTTTTATCCTTTTAGGATATAATATTTAACGAACACAGACATAGTTGTGGCGCGTAGACATTTGGTTTTGTTTTGGTATAATATTTTCCTGTTGGCAGCTGTGTGCTCTTGACTAGCAACGTCCTGTCCACGCAGGTGGGGTATTCTTGCGCTTTACGGAGACTTGCGATTACTGGTTTTGAATGATACTTGTAAGACGCGATTGCCTAGAGTATAGCCATTGAGGCTCTGAATCGCCATCAAGCTCTCCTCATAATTGGACATTGTAATGAATCCAAATCCCTTGCACTTCTGTGTTTGAAAGTCTCTGATGACTTTAACGCTTTGGACTGCTCCAAATGGGCCAAATAATTGCCACAATACATTTTCTTCAGTCTCTGGGGCAAGGTTGTATACAAATATACACCATCCTGGGCCGGGGCCGGCAGCAGAGATGGTGGGACTGGTGGCAGAGATCAGGGGGTTGGGGACCAGACCTGCGTCTAGGGGGGAAAACCTGGAAATACACAACAAACAACAAATTACATACAGATTTACAGATATCTTAACACAAAACATAAACTAGTCATTGACCATTATCAATATATATATTCAGATGAGATACAACACTTCAGTCAATTTTCCCTCTTGTAACAAACATATATAAAACTAATACCATCAAGGAATATAATGAATCATTTTAACAAAGAATAAAGGCAAATCAAATGGTTACTTTAAAAGTATTAATCTTTCTTAATATATAAATGCAGAGAAAAACAGTAAATACAACATACCATTTAATTTAAATATTCATAATGTTTTGTATCTAGATAATGTGGAGCCACATTTATTACATTCTTTCAACAACAGCTGGGGAAAGACACACATCCATTTGCCAATTCTATATTTATGATTATTATTTGATATTTTATAAGATTAGATATACTGGTCTCATTTTAAATGAGATGAGCATTTCTGCCAGCTATCAATTATGGAGGTCTAATCTAGATATATTTTTGATATCAGATCTATGTTGGAACTCAATAAGATTATTGACTACATTTAGCCCACAGTAATGAAATTGGATTATGAAATAATTAGAATTTTTTCCAATATTCCTTGTATGAATTTCAATAGAGTCAGTATGTGGTGAAACTGTACTTGAATAGGCTAGTTCTATTTTTTCAACATTAATGTTTGTGAACACGCAAATGGTTCTTACAGTGAATTTACCCACCCAATATATCTCCGTTGGACAATTTCAATCAAGAACGAACTACAAAGGAATCGGCACAATTACTTAATTGAGAAAAATATACTTTAAACAATACAAACCGGGAGGAAAACCAGATCAATCGAGGGAAATGATTTTGAAGAAACAATGATCTCAAAAATTTAGGGCTGCCATCATTAGTCGGAACGTCGACTTGTCAGTCAAAATGCAAGTTCGACAACGAAGTCGACAAAAATTCCCGTCATGTCGACAGCAAACGATATCAATACTTACTTGAAAATATCCAAATGGCCCCAATACATTTCAATACACATTTCAACGTGTTATGTGCGCGTATTCTGCGGAAATATTGTTCACATTCATTTCATTTTCAAAAAATAAATTCACCCGGAAGTTCCCTTCATGACTTCTCTTCTCTCTTGCGAGACGTTGTACGAGATTTCGCCCGAGCAGTCGAAATAAATCCCGGTCGAAACATTGCAGGTATTTGTCCCATTTTCGTCTATAATATTCTATTAACTTGGCATTTAGTAACAATATTAGGCAATTACATACCAATATGAATATAAGTTATATGAAGCTTTTCCCCGATAGATTTGGAAAAAACGAACCAACAACACAGAAATAATTTTTCTTTTTTTCCCGATGATTTTTTCTCCCTGGAAAGTTCGATTGTCGACAATATTTTCGACAGCAGAGTTCGACTGTCGACACTGACATTTGAGTTCGATGGCAGCCCTACAAAAATTGAGTATGATTATTTTGCGGGGTAATCACTCAATCAGCTTTGTGCAAAGCAATATGTGAGATATTGATCTTTGCCATTTCTTAGCATTCTCCACTTCTGACACTTTAGAAAATATACATGAGGTCATTACTTCACATAGCCACACCATTAATTGGTATTCTAGCCAGAACCAACAATTCAATTATTATAACATTAAGAGAGTAATAAGAGACAATACAATTTACATCTGCCATCTGGTAATATCTATATATTCATATATAGAATAATTGGAGATTGGTCACTTTTATTCAATTATCAATTATGTCGTTACCCACATGGAGTGAAGCTGAAAGCAAGAAAATTGCCAGAGAGAATTCCAAACGGCCACTTTCCTGTTTATGCAAGAATTCCAGTAAAAAAATCGATATTAAAATACAGAGAAATCAATGAATGTCTCCAGGGAGATATGGTTGACATCTAAGGAAGGCCTTGGTTAATATAACTAAAAACTATGGGTAATGAAAGGCAACAGAAACAAAACCACAAATTAAACTGATATGTCAAACTTATTTGTGGTGCCCAGTTCTACTAATGACACCAAGAGATTATGAATATAATCAAATCATTGGTAAATGGTAACATAAAACATTCAATCAAACATTTCTGATTAATTTCCATATATCTTCTGAAAGACTAATGAATGCCTTAAGAGCATGTATAAATTCAATGTCCTCTGATTGCCTTTCTACAAAGATGTTAAATATTTAATTAATCGTTGAAATATTCTAAATAACCCCAATTAATTTATCAAAAAACTTAGCAGGGAGAAAACAGAATGACTAAACATTATTTGCACATTGTTCAGCAACTTCTGATTTGCTCTTAAATAAAGAAATTCCTTTAATAATTCAACATCATTATTGATCGTATATCTGGAGATAAATCAATTATATTATGGGGTCCCTCAGCACTTAATTCTTAGAGTACAAACTCCAGTATGTCCAGCAGGGACAACTAGGAGTTGGGACAATCATTTTCCTCGTCAAAGGTGAATACAAATCTCATATATTTCAGTAATTTTCTTTGAACAGAATTAAAATATGTAGATTTCAATAAATAATTCATCGACAACATGACCACATACCCAGCAACAAAACATGCTCTGTCAAATATCCCCCATGGCACACAAAAGCATGTCAAATTATCAATACTGTCTTGTTTGAGATGAAAAACTTTAACTAGAGACCATACACTGCTAAACCCAGACCCAATATTTTATATGAAATACTAATTTCTTTTGTTTGATTAGAGAGACTTGAGCTACAGATGGTCAATCTTGCAAGCTTCAATTAACAATGATTCTTGGCATTATCTCTGAGATAATCCAATATTAAAATAGATGTGCCTTCGGGAAGTTACAAATTGGACAGAAGTATTATAAATATAGAATATGAATAAAGTCTGTGATTTAATGTACAATAATGATAAACACAAGATAATGACCAACTTAATATGTAGGAAGATAAATAATGAGACTCTTCGTAAAACTTCATTGAAACCAGGGTAATCTCTTGTTTGTGGTTTATTTTGATATTGCTAATGTAAGAAGAGAAGGCATCAAAAACAAGTTTGTAAAATGATAGGAACAACTACTTGCGTACAATTATAAACTGAAACATCATAATTTCAGCCTAATAGCCTATTTAGTCTGAATTGCTTAAAATATTCAACAATTTGAAAACAGTTGGAATCCAAAATATGAAAAAGGCCAATGGTTCAGACAAACATATTGTTACAAGAGGCACCTATACTGGCCTTGTAAAACTTCTTATTCGTGCATCCATTGTCTTCTAATGAATCTAATATTACTGGATTATAGTGATATACTTAATGAGAACAAAGGACAGATCCTCCTGTACAATGCCATTAAATTAGGGCTAATAGCAAGGAAATTCTAAAATAGTAATGGCCATCTTCTAGATTAAATTAGCTCTGGCGATTTTTTACTGAAAATGAGAGTAATGTGAGCCTCAGGATATCCATATCAGAGAATGAAAATTAGCTCCTGTAATACAGTGTACTTAAACACCTACTCACATGTTCTGTCTACAGTAAGATAGTCTGTTGAAACATTTAGTCAAAAATGCAGAATTCATAAGCAGGGTCAGACCATCCTGAACCTTGTGGGTGAATTCCAGTATGCTTCATTAATACTAAGAAATGAAAAATCTGCAGTTCAGGATAGGGTGAACAATAAGCTCTATTGTACATTTAATTATAGCCAATCCTTGATTCATTGAGACAAAGCATATATGAAGGTCCAGATCTGATGGATGATTCTATACTTGACAACAAAGGACCCCACTGCACTTCTATATTAGCAAAGTAGTACTTGTGTAAGATTTACAATATCAGAGCTGTTATTAAAATGGCTAAATCTCGATTTGTCAAAGATGAAAAGAATTAGAGTAAAATGCATTTGTTTAAATCACATTAGCTAGGATTGTGTGAGTGTAGAGACGTTGAGCTGGTTTAAGTCTGAAATATGGCGAGAATAATTAAGTCCATCCAGGGGTAGATCAGTCTTAGAAATATGGATACTGGACAAACAGAAAATCTCTAATGGGCAAAGATCCTATATTTACCAAATACACATAGAAATAATTTGTGAATCAATCGATTTGGATTAACACAAAACATGGTCAAACTCACTTTGAATAGACAAAAAACATGAAATATTCTGATTTATCAGCAGAAACTAAGAATATATGAAAATGTCATCATGGACCCATCACACAAATTACATCCGTTCAGCAAGAAATAAATTAATGGCTCTTATTTCAAAGAGAAATTTATTCACACACCAAAGCAATGAAGATTTTATAAAATGGAAATCAAATGCAATCTGCACATACAGTACTCTTTATGACCATACAAGAGGAAAGTCATTAATCTATTTGTACTGTACTGTAACATATTTCATATGAGACCCAGACATTTATATTGTATTCAATGATTCAGGCTTATTCATCCTAAAGCAGCCAATTTCATCATGCCATAAAGGAGCACATTATCTAATCAATGCCGTGTTATTATGATGTATTGAAAAAAGGAAGGAGACTGGTGCTCGGGGAGTACATACAACAATACATGCAATGTACAATTATTTTGTATCGCAACACCTTTACTCCATACTTATATGTCAATACATTTCAATTAGAATGTAGAAGTCGGGAATTATGATTGATTTTTCTGTCAAAGTATACAGACATCTCGGATAGTTATTGATAAAATAACGCGGGTGTGGGGTTTTATTTTTCTTGAAAGAAATTAAAGCAGATCGACAAATATTTTTTAAATTCTTACTCTGAGGCAAAATCATTTTCACGATCTGAGTTGAGACGGATCCAAAATGAACCAGTGGCATCCAATACATTGAAATTGTCACATCCAGTTGTAGTTTGGGGCAACTCAAATATATTAATGGACATAACCCTGTAAAAAGTAACAAAGAAGTTATTATGCTAACCTGAACCTTCCAGTCGATGCATGATGTATTGGACCTAAGAATCCTCTTTGTCGGGCTGGCGAGAGATATGATGCCATAGTAACGGGTAAAACATTTTTACTGTTACTGGGTTGATTGGCAAACTTTACTGTGATTGGTTCTGTTGATCCCTCTGGTATTGTACCGTTAAGGGTATTTATGGCTTTTTCTGCTTCATACCGTTGGTCAAACCTTATGAATCCTACGCCTTTAGATAGCCCTATAACAGCAAATGAAGAACAACATTTACATCAAGAAAGAACATCAATATTCAAATCAAATATTTTTGCATTAGAGAACATGTCACATTCACAACATCTTTTTTTATTGATTTATATAACAGAAATCAATCATAGAGAAAGCATAACACCAAAGTGAATTGTGACCTATTCATTTTAGAATTCTAAGCAATCAATTTTCTCTCAAAATACAAAAGTGATCAATCAGCAAAATCAATCCTTGCAAAGATGACATGTTCTCAAGTAGATGCTCTACAAGGCAAAAACTGGGTCAGGTCTGGGTCTACCTGAAAAAATACAAGTCTAGTTATATGAGTTATTTGTGAGCAGGATCCAGCAAAGGGCATGGTTTATCAGGTGTTGTGTGTATCAATGAAATTGATAACTTTGGAGATATATCAGAAAAAAACAGGCAAAAATCTGTTCAATGGAACATGTTCTTCAAAAACATATTACCCCCTTTGAATGTTTGATGAGACCCCAGATGTTCCGAAATTCATTGAGTGGTAATTTGAATTCCTAGTGAAAACATTTTACAGAATCCTTCATAAAAAATTGAGAAAAGGTATTTTTAAATTGCATAAGCAGGCCAAGTCTGTTTGAAATAGAGGAGAATCATTGTAGCAGAATGATAGCATGGTTAGTGTTATTTTAACTTTAGCAACTGATGACCATCAGAAAGAGATTTGATCTATCTACCAACTTCCATAAAACTGCTAAAGCGATTCAAAGTGAAAAAGACAGAAAAATGTCTAAGTTTAGGAACTAACTATCAGCAGTACAAGCTGCAAAGCAAGGTGTGAAACTCAACTCAGATGTTCCAGCGGATGTGTTGTGTTGTTAGCACAGCTAGACTAGCAACCACATCTCAACAACAATTCCGAATGCCTTCAAATCTGAGCCACTAAACTATGATGCTACTATTGTCTCTCTAAGTTCCTCTTTCTAGTTCAGATTGAGATTTACGGGGGATTACCTATGGAGGGATATAACGCCATGAGCGGCTTAACAGATTGAAATTAAGCTACATTCCTCTTGGTTTGATTTAGTGATTAGAACATGGAGAAAGAACTGCTGTATAAATGTTTTTGATATTGTTCACATGGTAAATCTATAATTAGCCAGAGTGAATTCTGTTTGTAATAAAGTTACCTGTCTGAGACTTGAGCACCTTTGTTTACGACTTTCTTTTCTTTTGATTCAAATCTGGGTTTTCAATATTTTCAATGTTCCAAATGGCACAATATCAAAAAGGATGTTGCAAAATGATCTTGCCACGGAATTATATGATATGATGTTCAATCATAAAATATTTCTTGTAATGATATAGCAGTCTACTTGGCAGGAGGATATAACTTTAAATTATCCTTTGTTTATATCGCCAGTGTCTGGTTTTATGCTTAGGAGTTTGTTTTTTACAACGTAATTAAACTGACAAAACGAACTGGGTTTGTGGTGATTTTATTGACCAAATTGCTTTGTTAGATGAGCACTCTGTAACGTGTTTTATTGTGCTGTAACTAGGATCTTAAAACAGACAGCGAGAAATAAAACACAAAAATAGTGAAAAGATTTATGAGATTTTTTATGTGCATTCTGGCTACCAACATAAGTCATCGAGAGAATCAATAGTTTAGAATGATGAACTTGCTGTTCCGTAATGAACCAAGAGATTGCCTGCTAAATATATTGAGGCAGACATGATCGAACTACAATAAATGATGTATTGGACTCTATATTCATTGTATTGATTTCTTCATCTGTTTTTTACCTAGTTTGGCATGGACTATCGTAGTTAGATGTCACAAAAACTCTGTATGAAAACATGGATTTTTCGCAAAATGAAGCAGCAGTCTGTATCATAAGTACCAATTTGAATCAATTACACTAAAAGGTGTATTAATTTTCACTCATCGCATAGTAATTATATGCTTCTATCAGACTTATAGAGGTAGCGAATAATATATTGAATATCCCGTTTGTTTCGAACAATGTTGCATTTTTAAATCAAGCTAATCAATGCCGAATGTAAATACCAAAAGGGTATTTTATATCGCTATGTTGGATAAAATTATTGGATTGCTCGCCAAGAATGAGTTTGCCAGGGCAATTAACAGTCATTGAGATACAATAAAGAGGTATCAGATATCAACTAGAGTTTCACACCTATCACTTGTCTTTATTCCTATAACTCGTCTCCATCTAATTCTATATGACAGTCAAGTACTTCCTGAAACTGTCTGTAATACAGCTTACTGGGCCCAGTTATTAGTATCCACTTCTGTACATGTATTTAATATTCGATATAAAAAACTTGATCAAAAGCATTTCTATAAGAGGCAATTTGGAATATGAACACAAGAAGTGTAGGAAGCTCTCTTTATTAAATTAAGGCTGATAGAAAGAGAAATACAGAAAAAATACAGAACACTCCGAGAGTAGATCCACAAAATAAAATATCACTAGCGGATGTAGTTCTACATAAATCTTGTGAATGATTTTTTACCCAAAGTTCAATCAATAAATGTTGGAATTGATGGCTTTAAACAAGACAGCCTGCAAGACCACACCTGGCATGTAATTGTTTGAGGCACATTGGCAACAGAATGCCCCCAAGAGGGACTGAAACAGTTCGACCAGTTGTTCAGTCTGATCAGATTGTTTGTTAAATTGTATATTTTAGGGACTGCTGTTAAAACAAAGATAATGCTTTAAGGTCCAAATAAGGATATATATGAACACCCTCCTAGAAATCAAAGAGCTTCACAGAATGCTCTAGATCAACAAATTGCCGTTCAATAAGGTCTGATTTATTTTGATAGAAAAAACGAGCTAGACAAACTAATCAATAGAGAACAAGTGGGATGTGGTGAAATTGGCAATTTAAAAGGTTTGCTTATCAAAGGTGTTGATGTCCTGCTCACATTCAAACAAACTATTGCTACAGATTCCAGTAGGTTTCCTCCACACAATCATCATATGATAGTCCCAATCCACATATCTGCAAGTTGCTTAATATTAGGAAAATGTTTCCAAATTACACTGTCTCTGCTTTATGCATCTGGAATTCCTGAAATTACCTACAATATATGCCATAGAAGTAGAATTTCTGTTTGAATACAATTTATATTAAATTGTAACAATATACTTGTTCCATACAATCAGTTTGTAATTTTTCCGCTGATTTGAATTTCATAACAAAATTACTGCTTCTATGACAAAAATATGCATCAAATCATGTACATGTGGAACAATGTTATAATTTACGTAGTACCAGTAATGTATTTATCAATGTATTTATCTGATCTGAATTTATGAAATGATGGTGCCAATAGAGCCTGGGTCTGTTTTAACTGAACTGAAATAAAGAGGAAAGACAAAACTACATGATATTGTAACAGAATAAAATCAAGAAATCAAATATTGAACAAAAATGAAATCTTCATAAGAAAGAATTTTTTCTTAATACTGTAGTTGTTATTTTTATTCAAATTCGAATTTTAACTTTGGATATTACATAAGTTGTATTTTTATAATTATTATAAACTATATCAAACATTAATAAAATAGCTGATTATAATAGTATTCCTGCTTTCAAAGACAACACTTGAATATGAGACACAGTACGTATGTATGTATGTGCATAATTATGAAATAGAAAAAAAAATCATAGTAGAATGGACTGAGACAATACTGTACTAGCTTCACTAAAGATGACGGAATGCGAAGATTTGATCTAATCATTTTATTAGTATTCATGCATGTATTGATGGATAAAGCATGGAGGATTCGTTTCAAAGCACATCTACAATACAGTACTGGATTTGCAATTACTTTTGTACATATGTGAGTGATCTGTAGTGAACTTGAGGTTTTAATGATACCCCAAGTTCAATCCGAGACATTAAAATATGCCTGGAGTATTTCTGGAATAGAAACATGCAGATTGATTGGGGATGTTACGTTTATAGCCCACCCTCCCTCTGGTCTCGGACCCGACACAACTGTTAACGCGCTCTGTAATATAAAACAAAGGTATAAACCAAATATATGAACAATAAACCAGCATGCAAATACTACAACATAGAACCATAAAGGGTAAGAAACAACAAACATACAGAACTAAATGGTCAGCGAAACACAACTGATTCTTAGCTAACTGAAAGTATACCTATAGTCGTTGTGGCTTCGACTAACCTGTGTTATGATCATACAGTATTCTAGATGTTATAATACGACCACATTGGGAGAAGATACGTTCCAAATCGGCTTGCGTCATTTTTTGTGTCAGTCCACATATATACAAGTTAGCGCCTTTAATACTCTCGCTACTTGGCCTTGCATACGAAACCTGCCAAAGTAACAGTTATAAGGGGAACCCGGGTTAGTAAATTTAAAAGAAACAACTTAGAAAGTTTGCAATACCTGTTGTTGGATCGCATAGGATTCTTGAAGTTATTATATTGCCAGCGGGTGAAAACATAGTTTCCAAATCCAACTGAGTCATAGTTTTGGACAGCCCAGATATGTACAAGTTTGCCCCCTTTATGCTTTCACTGCTAGGCCGTGCGAGGGAAACCTACACAAAACAGATAAACAGAAACAAAACAAAATAAACAAAAGCAAAATTAAATATGGTAACTGAAATAATACGATAGGAGTTGTGTTGGTCGTCACTTGCTACTCCCGCCACCATTCATTGTGACATGTTACTGGAACCAATTGTGACATGTTACTAGCACCAAATGTGACAGGTTACTGGAACCAATTGTGACATGCTACTGGAACCAAGTCAAGTTACTGGCCCAATTGTGACATGTTACTAGCTAGAATCAGTTATGACATGTTACTGGAACCACTGTAACATGCTACTGGAACCAATTGTAACATGTTACTGGAACCAATTTTGACATGTTACTGGAACCAATTGTAACATGTTACTGGAACCAATTTTGACATGTTACTGGAACCAACTGTGACATGTTACTGGATCCAAGTGTGACATGTTACTGGATCCAAGTGTGACTTGTTACTGGAGCCAATTATGACATGTTACTGGAACCACGAAGACATGGATACTGGAACCAGTTTCATGCTAGAGCCACAACCATACAAACTATCTTAACATGTAACAAATATCTTTATGTAAGGCATGAGCAGTTTACACCTTTAAAATGTCCATTTCACTAAAAAGTGCAGTGAATACCCAGCGTGAGATAGTTTATATAGCCTGGTCACCCATTCTAAGTTAAAGGCATTCAGTATTGCAGTACAGTTCAATATTAACCAATTTGCCTGAAATCAGCTAGACATTGTTTTTAAATTGATTAGAACTGCAATATTGCCATGGTTCTAATGTACCATAATGACACAACTAGGAACGGGCAACCATTGATGCTCAATTACATTGCAGTTTAATACACTGTTCCAGTTTCAAACCTAACTACCAGTATCTCTAGCATAGCTTTCTTCACCGAGAGTGTTTTTAATTACATGCACTTCCTTTGTATTCTTAGTTATCAATAAAACAATATTTAGAGACAGCGGCAGCCAGAGTCTTAGCATGGTGCCATTAATTGATCTAATTAATTATAAAGGTATGAAGCATACCAATGTCTTGCTGGGTTATGATATGGTGATGCTGATAAATGGCTGAGAGTGGATGCTCCTACAGCCATAGACATTAGAGACATAGAAGCATAAGCTTGAAACTGGAGCAGTGCCATAGCACATTATCTGTTAATATTCTCAACTAAGAAATTATCATTATTTCAAGCATTGAAGATCTGAATTTGATACAAAGTATTGTTTTAGGTAGTGGCTATGTAAATAATATTCATTTAAGCTAGTTTTATGCATGTCAGTAAATAGTAGACTACTCGTAAAATAATGTTACCAGAAAAGCTATAGTAATGTCAATCATGCTTTTTTGCAACAAAGGTTGTCAGAATGATCATTTGCAACCTTTATTTCACTATCACTCATTTAATTGACTAATCGTTAAAAGGTTAGTGGTAAATAGGTTTAATTTGTTAATGGGACTCCATCATAGCAATATTAGTGTCTGCTAGGTAGGAAGTCTTTTCTCTCCAGACTTCATGCATGTGTCTATAGTTGCTCATCTTGGCCGATGAGTCTGTCAGTCTCAATTCAAATGTCAGTGATTTTTATTGTATTTACACAGAAACATTGATTGTGAATATGTTTATGAATATTGACTTTCTCGTTAGCATTTACTAATGGACGTGTGTTACACATATTTACCATATTTGTTGATTATACTTGAAGTGTAATATGAACTGTTTTGCATTGATTTTTGATAATTTGGATTTTGAGTGATTATATTTCTACTGATGAAGGTGAAGAATTCAGTCTATTGATTAGAGCGAGAAACTTTTCATGGGAAAATATAAAAATTTATGATTATCAACTTATCGCATTAAGAAAGAATTTCAAATAAAAGAGAGAAAAATGAACTTATAAAGTCTACGAATGAGAAATTATTTGACAGAATTAGGCTGCTGAACTTCATTATTTAGCAGTAATAAAAAAGGCACACACGTAATGTTACAGCTATCTAGCAACAACTCAGTGAGTAGGAGAAATGACCTGGTGGCGTGATCATATGACACAACTTGAGATTCTTATTGACTTTAAATGATTTACTGATTGATTTATTAATGATAAGGTAAAGAAATTCTTAGATATCTTACCTTTATGGTTTTGTTCTGTAATCGTAGACCATTTAGCTGTGCGATTGCTCTGTCTGCATCATCTTGCAGTTTGTAGTTAACAAACCCATAACCTAAGCTCTGACCTGAAAAATAGGGAGGATATACATTAGGATTCATCAAAAATCTGTTACAAACATCATTTTTACTTTCAGATAGGCTATAGTGAGTATGTCAAATTGACAGCTCAGTAGATTTCAGTCGATTACGATAACTTGTCATGAGTACCTATGATGAGTAGAATCCATTAAACAATCAGATACATGTATAGTCATTAATAGGTTAAAAATCAGATGAATCATGCAAATGCATCAAATGGTTGTAAAGATACTACAATACACCACAATGCAGCTGTCAACATATCAAACAAAAACAGAGATTTAACCATAAATGCCACTCTTAATTGCATATGGATGATATGAATGAAAGCTGAATAAATGAAAGCAATTTGGATTAATAGATTCCTTTAGGCATGAAGCTTATATCATAGGCAATTAGTACAAGTAGAAATTACATAACACATCATCAAAACAGGTGAAATACTATATTTCAACCTATATTTAATCCTGAGAAATCTCATTGATTTAGGACTGTCCAAAAGCATTCTGCCCCATTTGTCAATCACAATAATTCTTTTAATCCAAGTCTGTTATTTCTGTCACTGGGTGTGGCACTTGAGAAGATGAACATGTACGAATAAAAGCCAAGATTTAGTATCTCATTGATGTAATATCAAACTATTTCCCCATTCCCTTTAATTCCTAACAGCCTGTATTACACACCTTTAGCAGTTAAAACAAGACATCATTTTCAATTAAGTGTAATTTATGAGAAGCTCAACCTTTTCTTTATGTACAAGAGTCGCCATATTGCCAATCTTGTACAAGGAGGCAGATGGCATCACTTATATGGTATATCCCAAAATTATCTAGATCTCACCCATGAAATGCACAGTGCTCTAAATATACACATAACAAATAGAGAAGGCCAGAATGAAAAATTAGTTCCTATCAATAACAAAACAAAATGAAGTTATAAGAAGCCAAGTAGCTACTATTTACAAATTACTTGGCAGTCCCATCCCATTTCAGTTGAGAACATGTTATTTTGACAAGAAAACAAATGAGTAGATTGTAGAATTGGAACACATAGAACAGGCACTTGTGACCTTGTAGTGGTAGGTTTCCCAGCTGCATTGCTACCTGTCTCTACTCTTAGTGATTAATTGTCCCCCTCAACACCTCCAGTGATACACTGATCTTTGTACCTCATTAACAATTAACTTCACTTTAAAATATTAATCCTTGTACAGAAAAAAAACTAGAGTATACCTCATAGTAGAAGTAGTAATCAACCATCATTTTGATTGCTTCCATGTATATTAGATATAGGTAACTGACTGATGGGGTAAAAGATGGATGGGGAAGCTGTCAGAGAGGGCGGGATGACTTACCTAACAGAACAAAACAATACACCAATATAGCGTATCACATATATGATGAATAATGCTAATTATAGTACAAGGCATTCTATTTTTATTAATTGTACATTATAGAATGATATCATTGGTGGTAAATATGATTCATGGTTGCCGTGTTAAATCTTCATTAAAATAATTAGAAACCATCTCTCGAATTTCTAGAGGGTGATACCTGGATTTACCTGGAGGCATGATTCAGTGTCAACTATTCAACTTGAATGGCTTACTCTATCGACCAGATTGATTTTTATATGGAGATCTATTGTCTGATTTTTTGAAAATTGGCAGGGGTTGATTTTTGTTCTAATAACTGCTTCAAGTCAACTGCTGTATTTTTGATTTCTCATAATAAAACAACATTTCCCAATGTCTTATTATTGGTGAATTGATACATGTTCATGACTAATGCAAATTCATAATACAGGATTATCATCTTGCTTCTTCTTCACGGAGCGGTAGCCAAACTGCTTGCCTACTATGCACGCAGTTTGAAAAACTGACAAACTGCGCGCCTATCAACATTGCATCATACAAGTTGGAGTCTGTGTTTTCAAACGTCATTTTAAGACATTTATTCTGAATTGTTTTATAGTTTCACACGTCCATTCGGTGGCGAATATATGATTCAGCCATGTGATAGCGAAATGTATGTCCAGATGAACGTTGGTTTAAAAATATAAGCAGATAAATACAAAAAATTGGCATCGATTTTTGGATTACCGATACAAAAGTTGATATCGCACGTTTCACAGAAATAGAAAACACTTGGGTTTTGATTCACAGGTAAATCTCAACCCAGTTCTCCCGTACAATACAAAATATTTCGTATTAAAACAGATGAACATGACAGAAAGAAGTAATAAAACACAAACTGCGCGCCTATTTTAGCCAGAAATCACAAACTGCGTGCATACTCTTCCAAACTGCGTGCATATTATTGATGCAGGCCTATGTGATTTCATGGGAGTACGTAAGTAAGCTGTTAGAGATTGAAAAAGTTGAAAAAAATCAAAAACTAAAATTGGGTTGATGGTTGACAACCAGTGGAAATGTACATATTTATATATTTTATTTTGTTCTTGTCTATATGATTTTATAAAAGTATGGCGCAATGATTCGACTTCATCATATAGAGTTGAGTTCAAAAATCTCATGAAAATGGTTTTATTCTATTGGGGTCCTTCTAAAAGACACACAGGAGGCCCCCGCCTAGTCCCAATTGAAGTGCCGAACTTGCCTATTTTATTACTTTATTTCAAACTAACACTATTTCATGCATGGTGCAACATAAATAAATACGTTCATAAAAATTGTGTAAATATATATATTGAATCCTTTTTTATTTAGATTTTTGATTGATGCAGTCCAAAAAGCCATTTCTTAGAATTCAATGAATTCCTCATTATAAAATACTATATCAATTTACAGTTTTAGGAACATATAAGTAAGAAAATGATATTTACAACAATCTCACTCTTTCGACTTGAAACTTTGTTTATTACCCACGTTACCATAAATAAGTGACCACGCATGCATAACGAGCAAAATTCAGTAATTCAAAACTTTTTCACTTAAATCTTTGAATTTTTGGGGATACAATCGTTTCGAGTCTATTCTATAGCATATGCCAAAGGAAGTAATACTTGAATGCTCCGACTGCAGTACATGTATATTATACGAGCCTGATAAATCGGTAATTTCAAGGGGGATTGAATTTGTTGAGATGAGGGTAAGGAAATTGAGGAAGGGTTGACACAATGTACTATTTCTTTTAAGGTTTGAGAGGACATCGGGCAAGAGGTTTTCACAGTCTTTTAATTTCATGTTTTTTTCAAATGAGTCACTGGTACCTTTAAATAATCGCCCCTTTAGTTTCTTGATTGGTTTCCTTTTCTTCATTGGTGCGTGTGAAAATAACATCTTGTTTAATTCTGGTTTCATGGTTTTTGAAGATGCGCTGATGTTATCTACATCTTTGTTAGGGACAGACTGTGTTTTTTTTATATATGGACAGGTTTAGTGAGAGGGGTTTACGTTTTCTGAAAATACACAACAAACTTGCACACAGCTTGCAAATTAGGCGCGCAGTTTGAAAATATAGGCGCGCAGTTTGTAAGTATTAGGCACGCAGTTTGTGAAATCCACGTGAAAGTATGCACGCAGTTTGACAGCGAAAAAAATAAAATCACGTTAATGGCTTGTCACTGTTTAACACACAAACCCTATATTACTTAAACCATTAGCAGCAAGCTTATATCTTTCAGTATATGCAAACATGAGGGCTGAATAAACGTCAAACTACGAAAAACAGACATTATATGACGCAACACTGTATAATTTGAACACGAAAGCTCATTGGGAACCTTATTTTGAGATAACTAGATATTCATCGGGAAAAAAAATCGAGTGCTACGTATAAAGTAAGTTAGTCTCCACATCTTGGTACTGTCTGATAACCAAAATTAACTTTGTATTGTCAGTAATTTCCATCCTCTTGGGAGTCGTGTCCTCCCTGTCTGCCATTTTGTGAATAGGCGCGCAGTTTGTCAATGTTCCAAACTGCGTGCATAGTAGGCGCGCAGTTTGCCTACCGCTCCGTGTTCTTGCTGTCCAATACCTTGCTTACAGAGTCTTGTTAAACTACAAGAAGACGAAGCTCTCTTTTAAGAAGCGAAGTCAAACGAATGCAAAAGGTAGTTGTCAAATAGTTTTTATAGTTTTTATTTATGCTTTATTTGATTGATTTATTAGTTTGTCTTCAGATATGTTTTATGATAGATATACTGTGCTGCTATAATAAGACTTTTCAATATTGGCGACAACTTCACTGCAACAATTTGTTCTCTTTTCTTATCCCAGTCTCGCGACAAAATATATAATTTATTGCTTTGTCAATAATTTTTCTCTGTTATATTGTAATTCAGAGTTCTGTAAGATAAGCATGAGACCAGACCGAAGTTTCTTGGAAAGGTTAAGATAACACAATGAAGGAACATGGTACTTGAGGCAAGTTTTCCTTGTCTGTGACAACTGAAGCATACTATGCCTTATATTAATAGTCTTGTTATTGATGACAAGAGGTTCAATATTCTATTAACTTTCTGTATAATTCATCAGCCCAACTACAATTACCATGACTACCCAATGTTTATTTAATGCAATTAAGATTTACGGCAAAAAGGCATATTCAAATATTTCTTCATTCTTATTACACCGGACATAATTAAATAAGTGTGAGCATACGTGTGAGGTAAAGAAAACCAGCAGCAACCCAGGAGACTAATTTATGGATTTGCAGTGGCACTAAAAGACTGCTCATAATGAGGCCATTAGGGCTCATTGTTTTAGTTGCTAAGGCGATAGAAATGTTTCAACATATTCACTGGACAAGGGGATTTGTGCAAATACCCCTGTCTGAGATTTCAGTTAGCGATAGATTTTATAAAATGTATATCCTTTATCTGCACTTAGCCCATTAAGAGCAATGTATAATCGTTACTTCTGGTTATCACAAGTCTATGAATATTTCAACACATAACGAAGCTCATATTAAAGTTTTATGGATGACCTGGCATTATAATAGAATAGTGCAATAGTATATGCCAGGATAGTTGGAGCCAAGCAAAGCAACCAATATCCTATTAGAACATGCATATAACGCATTAACGAGAGACAACAATGAAATATGGCTTTAATAAATTGTGTATCATGTGTTTTCAAAGTGAAACAGACATTTTTCTATCAATTTAATATGAACGAAAGATACATTATAATACCAAGTTATGAAATTATAACCTGCCTTTGATGATTCTTGTTTTCTCAGTAATCAAATTTGTATAATATAATAATCTTATTATATATCATTGTACTTTTTCAGTGTCGAGAATATGATTTATTAGATGCATGCAAGACTGGTGTCTCCAAAGCAAGCTGCTCAACTAATAACAATTGTTCTTATATGTTCTTCAGGAATAAAAAGAAACATATATCTGCTATTCAGAAAAAATAAATGATTGTTACTGAATGTTTTATACATTGATATTATTTATGACATAGTGATATTACTAAGATAATATTTTAAATGATATGGCATTCTGTACCATATATCCTCCGTATATGATTAGAAAGTCTAGGCCTGATCTGGATAGTTGATTATAATTGTAATTGTTTGTGTATTACATTACAATGATTGATATCATGATTGGTTCTATAACAGTGTTTATAAACTAATTCTAGTACTATGACCACAAGACTCTGAGAAAATCCATATGGTAAAGAGCACTCTATATCAAGTCTACCTAGAGAATAACCCTGACTGGCATTATAATCCCCTTTGTTTTACATTTCTTATTTAATCCTACATATTATCATAAATTATGAGTACAGATCAGTCAACTACTTGGATGGAAATGTGGAGTCGAACAATGTTATGTTATCACTGGTATCACTCCATCCATGAAGTGAGTTGAAGAAAATGACCTGATTATGATGATGGGTTTTGATGTTCTGTTTGACCTGATAAAGGGAAGGCATGCATACATATTATACATATATGCGGTTAGCAGCAAGGATGTGGTAGTGTGTTGTCTGTCTTTGTGTCTGTTTTATCACTACTGGATTTATCATGCCATCTGGAGCACTTCCAGAGTTGCAGTCATAACTCCCAATGTTTATGTGTAAGGCTTCTACTACCCGACCTTAACTCAGAAAATATGACAAGGAAGAATGTGTGTTTCTGTTTCTCAATATAAGTTTGTTGTTTGATCTCAAATATTATTATTAGATTATGACCTGGTTGGGTCAGATCGCACCCAAAGCTGTAGAGTCAATAAAAATATTATTTTGATTGTTGTTTTGTTTGGCATTGTTATAGCTGATATTTATATAATCATAACATTTCTCAATTATTTTCATACATGTGTTATGAGATATAATTGTACTTGTTACTCTATGGCTGTTTCATCTCATCATCCATATTTATTATTTAGAAGATAAAATTCTGTCACTTAAAAGAGTTTTGTCTCCAGAGATGCACTTTTCTGCCTCCAACAGCAGTGTTTCAAACAGAATTTACAAATTTTAAAATATTAATTCATGATGAGAATTAAGTTGACCGACAGTTAATCTGAAAAAACAAAATTATGTCAGTTTTTTGCAATGTATAATGTATCACTAATTCAGACACATGTTTAAACTAGCCATATAATCTATACAAGGCTAAACTAACAATTACTTAGTGGACAAAGCCTTAATCTTATATACTTGCACATTGCATTACCTTTTCAAAAAGGTAAACAAGATTAAGGATTATATCTAAGATTATCCCAAGAACCCTTTATATTAATAAAAGATTCTGGAGGGCCTTTTCCATGTGTTGGTCTAGGCAAACAAACCATGAACAGCAGGATGTTGGCCCTCCCAGACCATTGTGCAATCTGTCACAATACGTTATCTCCACAAGAAACAGCTGACAGAGGGTTCAAATAATAAATAACAATATGAGCATTAACAAGATTAGCCTTTTCTTCAACTTTAGATGACTCGAACCGCCAAAATCATTATACTAAATGTTTGGCAGTTGTAATGGCCAGTTCTGACCAACTTTACTGACATGATGTGAAGCTTCGTAAAATCGCCTCAAGAAAAATCAGCAGCTGAATTCAACTTCTATTTTGAGCAATTAGCCTCAAATTTGATGCTCAGATAGCTCTCCATATGAAAGCTATTGAGACTTCATATTCTTCCCACTAGCAAGCTACAAATAGTCAGAAGTTTGTTTTGATTTCTCTAAGAGCACATGCTGAACATCAAGGAAAGTACACGATGCCTCAAGCTTACACCTCTAATCCATTAATTTCCTTCCAACTGGGCCAGAATGCCAGAGAGCTCTTCACTAAACCATTTCTCTATCACCCTCTTATATGGCCGATTGGCCCACTTGTAGTGATAATAAGATAATCATAATGGCCCAGTAGATAATTAGTCACTAGTATAATCTTTATATCATGGATTAGGTAAGATTTGGCATAGGGACTCCTCCAGACCCTGAGTGTGCATATCTTGACCAGTAGCTAACATAACTTCTGGATGTAGAATGATGATAGCTATATCCCAGAGATGAGTGTCAGGTGTAGAGAGAGCCTATAAATCATAAAAGGAGTTAAAGTGCCAAAAGCTGAGTTTTTGTCTGCAATCAGGCATATGTAAACCAATGTAGCACAAAGATATCTTGCTAGTAGATTTTGCTGGCATTTCAACTACACGGGTTATCTTTCAACAGACTAGAGGGGAAGAGAGAGTGGAATGAAACCAAAACACACAGTAGGCTTTCTCTGGTTATTTTTAGTAGATAGAGCAATAGGTCATCTAAGATACTACAAACCGGCAATTTGATGCTGCTGGATTCTTTGTTCTTGTTTATCCAGGTTAGAATCGAATTACAATTCTTCCAAATGCTAACTAACAGTTTGTGGTGACATTTTGTAACTACTAACTTTCCATGAAAATAAATCAAGAAGGTTTATCAGAAGAATCCATATTGTAATTGGAATCTTAGGCATTGACAAGCTAATCAGATTCCCACATATTTCTAAATAGTTGCATACTGTTTTGAACATCATGGCCCAGGGAAAATGGTAGGAAGATTTCTCAACACATACAAATACATCATCCTGACAGCTTGCAGAGGAGAGAAATGTAAACACAACAGACAGTACTCTCACTCTGTTTAGACAATGTTAGCTCCCAAATGAACCACAAGAATTCTTCCTCGGCCAGTCTGGCACAAAAATAGGTACTTCCGCAGTATTAACATCCAATTTAAGATGCTAAATCTTGCATTTGAGGTTCTCATAGTCCATGCTTTGGCCATTAGTTCACTCTGACATATTCCGAAATAAGCTATAAGTTAACTTGGTCATTTCTCGCAACTAACATGTTTTTCAAGTGATGATTCACCTCAACATATTCTAAATATGTAATTAATATCGCTTGTTGTATCCAGCAAGAAGCTTGTCTTTATAATCTCACTATAGTATAAACGTATCCAAGAAAGAACGATTTTTCATTTTTCACTGAGGTGTAAAATATACACAGAAGATAGAGCTGAAGACTTAAGAGCCCTCCAACACTTTCTTCTCAACACACATTCCTTGATGTATATCATTTTTTAGAACAGATTAACTCTTCCACTAATATAAACATAGAACTACCCACTCATGGGCACCAACTAACACATAAACAAGGAGAATAATCTGAACAAAAAGTAATAAAGTAATGGCAGTATAATTATGCCACTTAGTTCATGAAGCATACAACTAAGTATTAATACCAAAATCAGTTTTCTAAAAGAATAACATAACAAGAAACATGCATAGGAATATGAAGAACTTACCCGTTGTTTTATCTCTGATAAGTTTACAACTTTCAACCTCCCCGATACTTGAGAAGAGCGATCGGATCTCCTCTTGTGTCATGGTTTGTGGGAGGTAGTTGACTATAAGGTTGGTCTTACTCTCCATATCAGCGTCATGGTTGGGGCCCCCGTTCTGGGTGACTAACTGCGGGTCTGTCATGGCAGATTGCAGGTCTGTGCTGGCAGTAATCTGCAATACACAAAATATAAACCGGTAAGCACTTTAAATTAAATCACATTGCAAGATCATGCAGACTTAACATTCCTTTAAGATTGAGAAACAGCTGCATATTATCAGCCCATCAGCTTTAGGCTAGATCCAGATATTTACTTCTTTGACTTTATTCTTTTCAAGTATTGTTTTATCTCCATCTGCAGTTGCCTCATGGTCACTGTTTTTAGAATCTTCACTAGTTTCAGACATGATTCCCGGAGATACGTCTTGCTTCACCATCTCTTAAAAGCACAACTAAGTTGGCAAGGCTACAAAATGAGACTATAACACTACAAATAGATATAAGCACTCTGTTGATGACATCACACACATAAAGCATGTGTATATAACTGTCAGAGTAAATCCTCTCCAAACTCATGCTTACAGTTGTACACCCTAAAGTAAACTGTCAAATAAACAGTCAAGTTGCAGAAACTCAGACCAGTAGCCATTTAACTTTCCTCATCCTCACATAGTTACCTCACCTTCAGGTATTAAAAGAAAGAATTAATTAAAAAAGGTGATCCATCATGGTGATCCATGATCCAAGACCGAATCAGTGTCGATCACTACACAAAAGATAAAAAAATCAGAAAAAAAATTTTCCTAATATTGAATCGAACATTGATGCGTACCAGATCAGAAACGAATCTCATGTTGTCTGTATGATCCAAACACTGCATGCTCTTCTAGTCCTAGAATCTATCTAACTCAAGATATATGTACTTCGCTTACTGTATACTACTGTTCTGTACTACCAAGTCTAGTTAAAGCAGAAGACACACACAGAACTGATAACCTTAACTCCAATACTGGTGGTGTTACTACCACATGAGCATTGAACAGAATGTTAATTATGACTACAATGCAATTATGCTATAATGCAGCAACCTATTGGCAATCACTGGCCAGAGACAACTGGTATTAGTGATAAGCTGGCCTCTATGGAGTTGAAGGCTATTTAAGTATGCTGATGGTCTCCCAATTACATCTCCCATCTGTCAGCATCTATGCAATACTTAACTCTGCAAGATCATTTTCATTCCATAGCTTTAATTACATATAATTGCCAAACACTTTCAGAAACTGGATAATTGTTTACAAATATACTTGATGATAGGACTGGCAAACATTAATAGAAAGAAATTGGGGAAAATAAAATAGAATTTGAATTTATTCCTGGAATTTAGTGCTCTGCAACTTTTACTTCAGTAACTATATAACTTTATGTATAAAGCATCAGACATTTGACTGGCACATCCATATAGATGTACTTAGAGCTTCACAGACAACCTCTAGTCAATATTATTCCAAGCTTCTGGCAAAGCAAATTGCCAATAGTGCCTTCATAAAACATATAGATTATCCAAAAATACATTAGAAGCAACCCCCTATGGTGCAATTGACTCAAGTCGCCACAGCTACCATGTTTTAAGTAGAATTCGGGTAGGATGAGAGGTTAAAACATGCAATCTGGCAAAACAACCAATAATCTAATACAAAGTTAAATAAAGACCATTGATTTTATAATGCCATGTTGGAGACATCCTTGATTTAATAAAAGTATTGCTTTAGAGAGACGACTGAAGAAGAATATTGATTTAAACTTCTGTCGTGGTCGTTTTTGAAATTCTGATTAGATTATGTAAAACTAATTAAACCTACCCTGCTGGAAGATTACAAAAGAGTAAATAAATTAGATCACAAATTTCTACTTTTCAATAGATGTCTAGAAATTAAGTCTACATTGTAATCTGTATTTAAGATCATTTTATCCATTATCATTTTTTCATAAACCAGACTATATGACGTTGTGTCATTTAGATTCAAATTGCGCAATTTCGAGATGCATATTCATACATTATTTATATTCCTTCAGCAATTTCTAGCTTGATAACTTCTCATTGACTATGCAAATTACACTATCAATCAAACATAAGTTAACTCTATCCTACAAAAGACATAAATTATCCATAACATTAAAAAAGCCACAACCAGAAACAAAGATACAATGTTTTTCCACAAATTGTTCAGACAGCCAAGATTTGCCTATATTAATGTGGAATGGTTCTTCAATGTGCACCCAGCAATCCAATTATACATCACAGAGCTATTCAGCGGAATGATAGAAGAGAAATCAATGCACTATAGACATGTGAATCAGATCTAGCCTGACTCATTTTCATGAATGCCAAAAAAATGTTGACCGAAAACGATCAAGCTAAACATTCCCATTCACATGCTACAGTTATAGAGGCACAGTTGCTTTTTGTCTCGTTAAAATGGATCAATATCTAGCATTCAAATATAATTTGAATTATGCTCTAAGTTACAATGTGATATTTTAACAAACCGGATTTCACATGTTAAATACATTTCATTGGATGCAGCTTATCCATATAAGACCAGGCCATTATTTCTACCAAGTACAAAATTTAGCAATAATTCCCCCAAGAGCCAAGGCAATAATAAAATCCAGATAGGACCAGTGACCAGTAATGCACCCCAATTATTCATCTGGGAAAGATAAGATAAACTACAGCTGGATTCCGCCTGATGGAATCATCAACTTTCTTTCATTTTTTCATCATCATAAAAATGTTTTATTTTTTAAAGTGTACAGAAACCCCCCTTCCCCCCAAAATTCACCAGTTTTCAAAAACTTAAAAAGCCATTTGTATTTTAAATCATTCTGTTTCTATCACAGCTCAGGTGATATTTGATATACCAGCCAGATATGATACCTAAGGTTTGGGATTTTTTGAGTTTGTGTACACTTGTCCTTTGGATGAAATGTTTATTTTTAAACAATGTATATCACTATTTTCAATGGGTCAAGCCAATATCTCTACTATACCGCAGTTTATGAACTCCCTTCAGGTACGTGAACTCTTTAATGCTTTGTGTCAGTTCAATGAAATTTCTTTCTCCCCAGACTTTTTTGTTAACTCTATGTTATGTCTATTGTATGAGCCTCTTAAACATATGTTCAATAACACACACAAAAAATAACTGAAATTAAAACCGAACGTTAACAGAATCAAATATCATACAGTGTGTATTGAATTGACTACAAAGTTGTGAAAAATAAACTATGACGTTTCTTTTCAAATATTAACCAAACATAATTTCTTGAATAAATGTTCGTATGTGAGAACCAAATTAAAAAACATGTAAAATCTAGAATAAAATAAACAAAATAAATTCCTACCTGCATCTGTAACGTGTATGAATGAATAAACGGAGAAAACCCTGTTTCTGTAGAATTAAGAGAGTAGTTGACTAGCTGTGTAATATTACTATATGGATTATCGATGCAACTGCATACAAAGCAAACTAAAATGAACTGAATGCAGAATAGTAGAATACAGCAAGCGCTAGCAGATGTGGCTGAATAATCTGAATGACAAATTTATGCACATGCCCTCCTCAAATACACACATAGCAGCTAATGAAATGAGGTCTTTCTAGTATCCAATCAGCTGCCAAGCAAAGTTAAAACCAATCAATGATTGGTGCTGGCTTCCCCATCACTGTAATTTTGTTTTCTTAATAATTAGGCTTCTGTGCAAGATTGCCAGATAGTGGACTCTTGGACCAAGGGCTGTAATTTACCAAAAAAACACCAAAATATTGCGTCAAAAAGAATAACATCACATAAACGTTAAATATATTGGATACCAATATCTTAACAATTCATGACTCGCAGCTAGCACTGAATCATTTAGGATTAATAACATTCAGACACAAGTTTGTGTCTTACAATAGAAGTGCCACAATCTACTCTAAGACTACCATAATTCTTAGTGAAGTAATATGATATTTGAAAATTGATAATATTGGAATGTCCCTATCCAAGTAAGGGCCAGTAGTAAATTGTCCAGTTATAGCTTTTGCAAACTTAAGATAAGTTTTATATCCCCTATTTATTTCTGATTTATTGGACACTGTAATAAAGAGGAATAACATTATTAGACCAGACTTTGAAAATAAAATTATAAGACTATACATTAATGTAAAAGGCTTCATTTGAAAAAAAATTTCGAATTACCATAAATCAAAATCAACTGTTTTTGAGGTGAACCATATATTTATGATAAAGTAGTAAACTAGTCATGATATATTCAGAAATTTTGAAGGACACTTGGTTTTTATCAGAAAAATATTATTCAACATGCACCCAACCATTGTAATAATTTCATACTGAGGTTCAGGCCGTAACGTCAAAACAAATGAACGTTAAAAAAGGTGTCTTTTAAACATAAACTTAGCCATAGCGGGAACTTCAACAACACCAATCAGAAGCAAGTGCATTAAAACAAATCTTTGGAGAAATCTATTTACTTTAAGTTATATAATGTAACAGGGCTCTCACCAGGAAATATTTAGGGTGTGGTGCTAACATCTTCAGAACAACCGTTCAATCATGATAAATCATATTTATGTTATGTTTTATCCTTTTTACATGCTATTATTGTATATTCAGTCAAGTTTAGACTGTGGAAACAGTCATGATTTGCCAATAGGGTGTGGAGGGAGCTAAATAGAGTGTGGTGCTGCTCCACAGTCTAAAAGCCTGGCGAGAGCCCTGTGTAATATTTATTCTAAAACTTGACAAATTGACCTATTCTCAAAATCTCTTGGATTATATTACTCTTGCGCCACCTATCAAGGTGCCATGGTACTTAACAGGAAATGACAAAACAGGAATTTTTAGACATTTTTTGAACAAAGATTATACTTCTGTTTTGACCGCCATTAAGTTTAACTAGTTCCATCCAATGTACATTGTAAGATTGTACATTCAGAATGATCCTTAACATGATGAAATAACTTTTTCAGCCCTCTGAAAATATTACATTGGAGGTCAAAACATTGGACTTCATTGGAGGTCAAAACGGAACTCTGTTATTTTTGTTCAAAAAATGTCTAAAAATAAAGCATGTTTTGTCACTTCTTGTTTTGTCATTTCCTGTTAAGTACCACGGTACCTTAAAACAAAACATCCACTATGTATATGAGACTTATGAGGAGTAGATGACCTGCTTATAAAGTTTATAAAGTTAGGATCTGATTCTGAACAGTAAATATTTTTCATAATCTTAGTAGAATTTGAAGAAACTGAATACTTAGCTGGATTTGCCTGCCCATTTTCTTGAGAAAAAATTTCAATCCTGTAAATATGACATAAACTGATAATTTCACTATCAGGACATCATGTAATTTTGTGAATCTGACAAGGAAATAAGTCTAGAAAGAAGCAAAAATATACAAGGCATTAACATGGCAAAATGTCACCACCTCGTAAGATTTTGCAGTTAGTTACAGATGCTGAACTCTGATAGCCAACCACCATCACAAAAAAGTTTGAGACCATAACAATATGATACCGAGTGACATAAAAACCAGTCTAAATAACTTTATTTCTGAACATCTATGAATGAAGAAATACTTACGACACCTGGGCCATGTTTAATTGCAGAAACAAATACTGGCATTCTCATTATAGTTTGAACAACAATTCAATAAACAATGTATATCATGTTCATGTAAGTATCTAATGAAATAAAATGACCTTGGTTCCAGATTCACAACTAGCCTGAATGCCTGAATGCTAAACTCAAGACTCCAGCCAGTCTGGTCATCAGGAAGTGTCACAAGTTTATCCAGGTGCCTCATTTAAAAAACTGGTAAGGAGATGAGCAAAAGGATTATGCAGTCTGTTGTAATAAATGAACACTCCAAAAATGGAGAAACAGTTGGAAAACATTTATGTTTGTTGGTATCACTATTTATGTTTGTTGGTATCACTGCTCATGTTTTCTCTGTAGAAGTCCATGGTACCTGTTAGGATGATTGTAAATTAAGCACAGAAAAAAATTCAATCCCAATCTTTTGATCAGTTAGGTAGTAAATAATAACAATTTCATAAATTCTTCATTTCACCCAAGGACGTCCTTGATCGTCCCAATTTCTTAGACTTATTTATAAATTAAAGTTTGACAGTTCAGGCCCGTAGCCATTTTCCAAGGGGGTTCACTTTTCCCAAAAATTCTAGGGGGGGTTCGCCCGAACCCCCCCTAGCTACGGGCCTGCAGTTATTCCTAAAATGTCATTCAGATTCATTGATTTATCGCATCTGAAGTGAGGCATTGGTCAATTTAGAGAAGTACATGCCAGTGATTTGTAAGTGTACAGGGTAGCTTTAAAATAAGCCAGAGATCTTGATTATCAGAATTTAAAAATTATTGACCATGGGGCAAAATGTGTGTAATAAAATGGGATGTAATGTTTTTTTCAAATTTCATGCCATTTAGTCAATTTTTGACGATTAAATTTTAGTCATGCTTTGTAGATTCCTGGGCATATCTGCTTTTTAATGCTCACAATTTTGTGTCCCTCCCAGTCACCATTGTGAGCTTACTTGAGACCCCCACATGATGAAGACTGTCATCTGACACTGTTTTTTCAGTGATTGGGCTAACAGTCATTATCATGGACTGTCATGTTTTTAGAGGACAAATGCAGAAAAACATTTTAAAATAGCAGTGTAACAAAGCTCCTCTCCAGCACGGACCTCTGCCAGAAAAGCTCCTCTGTGTCTAGGCTCAATAAATATACTCAAGGACAAGACACGAGATCTTCGGAAAATTTATTTTTCCTTGATTTTGGAGTCAGTTTATCAATAAATATCACATGCCATACCTCAAACGATGCGTACTGTTGTTAGCTTCAACTCCAATCACCAAAGCCAAACATCCAAGAAAGCGTCTGTTGATAAAAGCATAAAATAAGCGAGCGTATATTTAATGGAGCACTTCGGCTATCTCCGTTGTTCAAATGATTATTCCCGAAGTCAAATGCCTTTTCTGAGAATGTGACGCCACTCCGGATGACGTCACATCAGAGATTACCGAGAAGTCCCATGACGTTTCCTTAAACTCCCGTAGAAACAATAATGACAGTTATTAGGCTACGCGATTCTTTACTTTCATTGGCTGTTTGTTGCGATGTGACGTAATTTGAGAGACGAACAACATCGGACACTGCCGGAAATTACCGAAGTGCTCCATTATCTTTACGCTCTGATAATTTGAAATAAATGTCCCGGGAAAAGTCGAATTACAGCGTCTATAATGGATATCATGCAACCATTCAAACTAATACATAAAGAAGAGATTACAGGGTAAATATTGATCAATCAATGTCTGACAGATGGAAAAAATAAGGTCAGTACGAGGGTCATATTTTTGGGTGGTCATTTTTTGGATGTGCCATTTTTGGCTCGTGTCTCATCTTCCCATTTATCCTTTGAGCCTACTACCAACAGGGGCTGGATCTGGCTCCGGATCTGTGCTCTCCAGTGGATAATAAATGTTAACACTGTGCCTAACTTTATGATTGACAGCCGTCACGTGACCCCAATGACCACGTGTGGTCGTGTGGCTGTCAAACTAAAATACTACAATTTTAGCTCAGAGCTTATCAGCCTGAACATCTTGTTGATGTTAGTGACAGTTCCATTTTATGGTAGTTAATACACGTTTGTTACATATCTAATTGAAGACCCTTCTTGAAATTGAATGATCACTCGGGAAAATTACGATTTCCGAGATCCTCGTCTTCTGAAGTGAAAGCACTTGCATTTTGTTTTGAATTGGGATGATTGATGTTTTCAATATTTGAAGCCATTGTAATCAACCTACCTGCTGTTTCCAGCTAGACTGGTCAAAACCGGGGTGTATCTGTTCCGAAGGAATGGTGGCGACTTATGTGATCCTGGATCCAGGAGTCAGCAGAGATGATCTTCCAGCTGTTATACTTTGACAAGTCTTCGATTTTGCCAAAATGGCGATTTCTTGATTTCACACACACTGTCTTCTTCAAGGTTTTACTACTAAAATCAGTCCCTTCTCACATAAAGTACGTCGTTAAAATCAAAGTTAAGACTCTTAATATAAACAACTGATATCCTAACTAGATTAAATCATTTAAAATCAAGTAAAACCTTTAACGAAATGAGTTGAAATTTCTATACGAAATCAACCTTTCTGTCCGAGTGCAGAGAACCAAATAACCCGAAAATGACCGAGCACTTGCTAAGCCACATCACTGTGATTATGCATATATCAATACGCCACAATGCAATCTTAGCAGAAGTTCAAGCTTTATCATTCAATTGATATCATAAATGGATCACCTTGTTAAAAATATACTTTATAACAGCTTCACTACTTTTCACAGCGATTGTAACGAAATAATTTCAACAAGTAAATTTCACCTCGCATTCACATAGAGAGTAAATCGGACCTAAATATTGCGGGAATATTTGAACTTCACATATGTTTAAAAATAATTGTACAGTGATGCAGAGTAAAATAAGGATAACACTATTTCTATATTATATCGTAATTAATCTACTTAATCTACTCTCATTGTCCCAATTGAGTCCGATCTCTCAAAATGTATCAAAAGATTCTGAGAGCTCACAATCGATCTCAGGATAATCACAATGCTTAAAATTAAATTGAAAAACAGATCATTCTGGTATGTCCACTTTCAACCGGGACTGAGTCCCTTGACGTTTCTAGTTCGCCCCAAACACAAAAATGTTATGTTAGGTATCATATTTTTACTTTAATAACTGCTGAAATGAATTTTTTGAAATATTATTATTTAGATTTGTGGTGGTGCTAAATTGAGCAACAGACTTGTCATATATGTACTAAATTAAAGATGGCTGACAAAAAAGATTCAGGTTTGTTTACAGTCGCCTGGTGATCGTTTTTGCAATAAAATGCCTCACAAGTCAGTCCACGACCACTCTGGACGAATCATTGATATATTGTGTATCTTTAAAACAATGTATGTTGTACATATGTATGTCTATACGCATTCTTGAAGATAAATTATACTAAAAATCAAAATATTTAGAATTTTTGATTTTGTTGACTCTGACTTGAATCAGTCACTCACTCTCACTGAGTCCAAGGTTGATCCTTGCTGAGTCAGTTATATTGACAATCACTACAGGTTTAATTAGGATTATAGGTTACTAGGTTAGGTTCTATTAATCCCATAAACAGTGGAGACGATAACCCCATTAGCGTGAAGTAAGGCAATGGCCATGTTGCACGACAAATTATGAAGCATAAGTGCGCATGTCAATAGATAATAACAACAATTGCTGTCATGTCCGTCAAGTGACGTGCAATATTTTGCACGCCAATCGACGTGCAAACTATTATCTTTTAAAAGTTTCACTTATTATCGGCAGGACGACAGGCAGTTATAAACTGGGAAACTAGTGGGCAAATCATGATCTGCATTGTATGTAATAGTTATAATCATAAACGTTTACTATTGTCCGGGTTGCATTTTGAACTAACAACTCAGGCCCGTAGCCAGGGGGGGGGGGTTCGCAGGGTTCGGGCGAACCCCCCTGGCCAAAAATTCTTTCAAAATCATGCAGTTTTTCACCATTTTGAGCACTTCTCAAGTGATTTTAGCCATATTTGGGCCAAATCCCCCTGGAAATTTTTGAAAACTAAACCCCCCTTGGCAAATCCTGGCTACGGGCCTGCAACTATTATGATGTGCTTACGTCAATGTTTACAAGAAATATTTATTCAACAGCAAACCGGAAGTAAACAAATGATGGAAAGAAAACTAATAAATTCTGATCTAATGAGGATAGGAATTTAAATTGTTTATAATTCATGTAAGGTAATCACTAGATCATTGTAAAGAAGGTTTAAAAACTAAATCCAGCCAGGAAAAAAACGAAAAAATCAGCAACATACCGAGGACAGGAAAACACTTCTGGTCAAAAAGAAGACGGAAAGTAGACCCCATTTTAGTGATTTCCAGTGGTCTTTTCTCGGAATTGGGGCTCACGTTGTGTTAAGAGATTAAAATACCTTTGGGTCAGTACTAATTTTGTCGTAAAACCTGTCGGAAAGACAATATCTAGACAATTGGAGTAGTATTAGTAATTCCAATATGGCGTTTTTCTAGGATTCGTGCATACAAGTGCTAGATTAGATTAAATACTTGAAGAAAATGCAATAAAAAGCGTTCCATTGATCCATTTAGACTTTCCAAGAATGCAAGTTCGGTGGTGACTTCATTGGTTCGTAGCATTGACAGAAAATTCACAAGATATAAAAGAAATATTACTTAGATTGTATATATATTAAATACTAGGTCGTCTAATTAACTTGGTGTTTCAAATTATGAATTACAATGGACATTCTGCTTATTGGCGTGATTCACGCCAATTGACATGCAAAATGGCAAACTCCGTGTTACACGTTAAATGGGGTTGTCGTCTCCACTGATAAATGTGAGGATATGATGGCTCTCTACAGAGCTACATGTACATACAGTATAATAGAACTTTATTGAATCCTACGACCACCCTTAACGTTCTCTCAAAGCTAAAAAAGTTGCAGAGTTATGCACTTTAATCGACCAGTGTTTCAAAATATCCGCCATCAGTTGCTTTGATTTGTTCATTTAAAGCCCATGATTTGTTCAAAATATGATGTCTGAGGTTTTATTTATAACTAAATTGGAATAATCAATTATTTATTCAGGAAAGGTTTCAATTAACCAATTGGTTCTGCAATTTTTAGAAACATTAGGCAATTTTGAGACTTAAATCCTCAAAAACTTATTTTTCAAGAAAAAAAGCCAGAATATTTCTGTACATTCAGGCTAATTTTTATGGAAGTAATGTCACAATAAATAGGACAATCAAATAGTTGCTTATTATAGAATTATGAGAAAAATTCTATGATTTATTAGAAATACTGTTTATGTATCCAACCTTTAATTTTTGTGCTCATTTCATCACAAAAATCAGTAATCGATAGCCATGCATTGCACCATAAATAATAGCATCTTCATGTTTCTATTCCTCAAATATGTATATTATTCTTGCCTCCAGGGAGTGACTCTGAGTCAACAGAGGAACCAGTAGTTGGCAATGTAAACAAATTCTCTGTCTCGCCACCAGGATATACAGGACGGACCAAGAAAGGACATCTTATCTTTGATGCATGCTTTGAAAGTGGTATGTACCTTTTTACTTTAAACTACATAAATACAGGTCTGAGTTATAGGAAGGCAAATAATTTACAAGACTGATTTTTTCGAAAAAAACTAAATTAAATCTAATTGAAAATATTTTTTGTTTTTATTTGTTAAAACATGGAGCTATTTTTGTATCCGCACATGCAATAATGACTTATGAAGTAATCAGTCACTAAAAGATATTTGTACTCTGCACAAATCTGATTTTATATTTCAGGTAACCTAGGGCGTGTTGATTACATCACAGAATTTGAGTATGACTTGTTCATAAGACCAGATACGTGTAACCCTAGGTTTAGGGTATGGTTTAACTTCACTGTTGAGAATGTAAAACATGATCAGGTATGTAAAGGTTGACCTGAATTAAGGCCTTGTGTACCCCCCTCACCGATCCCCATTACCCCAAAGATACACGTACCTTCTGGATATGGAAATTAAAATGGGGTTGGACAAGAGACTAGTTTGGGTTGACTTGAATTAAGGCCCTGTGTACCCTCTCCCACCCTCCCCATAACCACAATAATATACATACCTTCTGGATATGGAAATCAAAATGGAATGGGACAAGATACTAATTTAGGTTGACTTGAATTAAAGCTTTGTGTATCCCCCCACCCCACAAATACTCCTACTGTTTATATATTATGCACTGCTCAGTAAAAATTATAAATCAATTTGACTTTATCTAATATTGCTCTGTTTCAATGAAAAATATGCATTGTTTATGTTTTTTATTTTTGCTTCCAGCGTGTGATATTTAATATAGTTAACTTCAGCAAAACCAAGTCACTCTATAGGGAGGGAATGTCTCCAATGGTGAAATCATCAAGCAGGCCTAAATGGTAAGATGGAGGAAGGAATAAGAGTTTTAAAGGGACATTGAATTCCTTACAACACCCGGAGCGTCTGGCGTCTCATACATTTTGTCAATGGACGTCCCTTTTTGTCATGGCTATTAAAGTTCTATGAGGGCAAAATGTATCGAAGTTAATCAAGTAATCAACTGATATTTGTGGATAAACTCAATAGAATAGTCCCATGGAAATAATTAAAAGTCATTTGGAAATAATCGAGACAGAGGGACATTTTTGGGGTTCAGAGTACTAAAATTTTGAAATCAATAACCCAAAAATGCACAAGGTCTTGTAACTTAAATTGAATAATTCTAAAATTAATTTTTCTTAAATTTTCAGGGTACGGGTCCCAGCCAAAAATGTGTATTACTACAGGTGTCCGGATCATAGAAAAAACTATGTGATGTCATTTGCATTCTGCTTTGACAGAGAACGTGATGTTTACCAATTCGCTTACTGCTATCCTTATTCATACACAAGACTACAAAATTATTTGGACAATTTAGAAAAAAGAAATTTAGATTTTGTAAATAGAGAACTCCTTTGTTTAAGTGTGGTAAGTTATTTTCCATCCCTTCTCCTAGTAGAAAATAAATTGTGATAACAAAACTACAGGGGTCTCTAATAAATGTTATGAATGTCTCATAGGATAAATGTTAAATGTAGTTTTGACTTTTTCAACATTATTTTTTTGAAAAATAAAGAAAAAGTGAGACCATTTAACAATACATCATGTAAGAATTAGTAGCCTTTGCCTTGTTCAGAATTGTTAAGGAAATATGTATCATATTTTTATTTTAATTGTTACCATTGTATGTTAATTGTTACCACTGCATGTTAATCATTACCACTGTATGTTTCAGCAACAAAGGAGGCTAGATATGTTAACCATAACAAACCCTGAAAACCTTGATCCTGATAATGAGAAACAGAAAGTTGTATTCATCACTGCAAGGGTACATCCTGGTGAAACACCAGCATCATACATATGCCAAGGTAACCTGAAATTGTTAACTGAGGCCATGCATGAGTTGCATTGTATGCAGCTTTAAACATGAGGCTGCAACTTTGCAACTTGTGTATTACGGCTTACATGGAATTCAATGAGCACATGAATAAAGGCTCTTTGTGATAGTGTACCCATGTACCTGTATTCATAAATCGGGCAATATGCTTCACAAATTTTATTATCAGAACTATATCATCCAATGAAACTGTCAATTTTGTTTATCTTCAGGTATATTGGACTTTCTTGTCAGTAACCATCCTATTGCCAAAATCCTACGAGATCACATCGTGTTCAAAATTGTCCCCATGCTAAATCCCGATGGAGTCTACCTAGGAAACTACAGGTAAAGTCTAAAATGAAGAAAGAAGGTGCCAATAGATGGCAACATTGAAATAGGTTCTATATTAGCATGTAAATCTTCTGCATGTAAATGCTGCATTTCTGAGAATTCTAAATATCTCTTGAATGGATTTCATTGATATTGAACCAAGAACAACTAAATTTTGAGAGATGATTCCATCATATACACAATTATACACATAAACATTGCAAGTATTCATGTGTAAAAATACATTGACTACATGTATATTATATTTTATTGTACTTTAAATGTAGATTATGGATTTTGATGTGAATAGAATTGACTGAAACCGTTACTGACATCTCCGCATGTAAATCACATTGACTATATCGATATGTTTTTATTTTATTTACATGTACTTGTATTACAGATGCTCCCTTATGGGTTTTGATCTGAATAGACATTGGATGGAACCATCACCATGGGCACACCCTACACTCTATGCATGTAAAAATCTCATGATGGAACTAGACAGAAGTCAAGTAATTAATTTCATTATTACAGCTAGGATTATTCAATTGAAAACTTTTCTAAAATTAAAGTTGGTTTAAAAAATATTGTATTGACTGGGATGATCTTTACCCTATTGATACCAGTATTTTTGTCTTATTCAAAACTCTTTACCAATTTTCAGTCTGGGAGTTAAAAAACATGATGAAACTATATTCCCAAATAACTTTTTCATTGCAGAAAGATGATCTTGATTTTTACATAGACATTCACGCTCATTCAACATTAATGAACGGGTTTATGTATGGTAATACATACGAGGACATGGACAGGTTTGAAAGACAGGCAGTGTTCCCCAAACTCCTCTGCGGCAATGCGGAAGACTTCTCAATGAGTAACACATCATTCAATAAAGATGCTGTAAAAGCTGGTACAGGCAGAAGGTAGGCTGATTCTGTTTAATGTCAATGTTGTAACATTGAGGTATATTCAACAAATTAAACATGCAACTAAAAGAAAACAGGGAGTGGAAGTGAAGGAACGTTCTCTGCATACATTTTTAATACAATTCTAACATATACAAGGGATGTTCTATAAGTCATTAAACCTGGTAACTATCAATATGTATCAGGCCCGTAGCCAGGGGGTCGTTCAAGGAGTTTGAACTTTTCAAGTGATTTTGGCTATTTTGGGGGCAAAGATGTCAAACGTGAACCCTCCCTGGAATTTTTTAAAAAGTGAACCCCCTTTGCAAAAGCTGGCTTACCGGAGCTGCGTATTCCATGCCTCTACTCTGTAATGTTACATCATCAGCACTATTTAGTGTGCAAAATTCCTACTGGACTATTTTACATTCCTCATATTTTATAACTACTTTGTTATTGAACACTATCTAAGAGGTGAATCATGGACCAGATAAAGATAGTATCAAAACAGTGTTCTCCCAAACATTGATGCAATTTTGGCAACACATTTTTTTTAAAACATTTTTTTAATTTATTCATTCACTATAATTGCCTTACATTAATTGATAGGGTCAGCAATATTTTCCCATAAAAAGGTATATCACTGTATATAACTATTAGTATTCATTGAGAATATGTTACAATGTGTTTCTTTTGAAAAAAGATAATTTGGAAATTAGTTTTACATGTTGAAAATTCAGTTGGATCCAGTTAAGAAACAATCATATGGAGAACACCAAAAATATAATATAACACACCAAAGGTTGGAACAAAATGTAAAATAGTTACTTACTTTAACTTTTGGGGTAATCTTTTTGTAGTAAGTGTAAGGATTATATTTCATCTTAGTCGCCATGGTGATATGTAATACAACCATCTAATATACATGTGCTGTTAATCCTCTATGTGTTGTAGTCTAATCTGCACATCTTCTAGAAACATGTGCTTCATCATTTTGAAACAACAATTAGACATGAATAATCCAAAGAGGCCTCCAACTCTAAAACATTTGTTAAGTGTCAACAACACATTGATAAAATTGTTTTAGATTTGAATTTTCAAAAAATGAAGATTAATTTTTTTCACCATTTCTTACAATTATGTTGCTTGACTCTACAACCTGGTTTAAAGTTAGTTCATAATATTAAAGTGTTTTGATTTTTAAAAAAAATAAAATAAAATTTTATCATCTGTATGTGGATTCTCACTCTTGGAGGCCTCAATGGGCTATAAAATGTTCCCATACATCATATGTCAGTATATGCCAGAGGGGCTGAGGTACACCCAGCAAAACTTTACTGCAGTTTGACATTGTGACTTTAACTGCTTTAATGCTATGGGCTATGACATCTTCATTGTTTTAAAGTGTTCCCTTATGTTATCTTGAACATTATAACATGCTTAACTTTCTGTATGGTGTTGTACTTTCTACTCTACCATAGTTTCATTTTTGCTATTAATTCCCATGTTTAAAGAGAGAATCAGATTAAGTGAGCAGGAAAACAAAATATTTTTGGCTCATATCGTTTCTTGTCATGTCTAAAAATCCCAAAAGTACATACGTTATTCCAGACTATAAAGATTTTTACAATAGTGTATTATTTTTCTATTCTAAAGGCTACCATTTTTATTATTCAGGAGAATTTAAACAATTTTCCCTCATTTTGTACTTTGAATCCTTAATAACTAACCAGTTTATCTTGGATCACTTTGGAGATGTTGTATTTGAGATTGTAAGGAATACATTGGTAGGTCAACTGTGCATGTTCCTTGCAATTATGCCACCCCTATTGATCTGATTCTGACTTTAAGAACTGTTCTTGATTTTCAAATTACATTTGAGTGATCACATTCAACATTCATTAAGGTTAATATTTTGGTTTTGTAAAAAATTGTTCAATCTTTGACAAAGTTTTACATAGCGAGTGTTACACTACAAAAGTTCAATGGTTAGAAGCTATAACACCAACATTAACAGTTACCTGTGAACTAATGTATATTTCTACCTTTTTGATTAATTACAGGTGATTTTAACACAAAAGCTCATAGCTGTCCATCTTCCACTAGCCACCTTTAATTAACAATTAATTAACATGTAAATGAGCATGTAGAAAAGTTTAATAAATATGCATTAAATTCCAATTTTTGAATGGGTTGTATTTTTGTCGATAGGTCATTTTATATAAACTAATAAATTATACTAATAAACTATTAAAGAGACTCTATTGAGACTTCTCTGTGGCATTTTTTCTTTATTCCTTTTTGTTTTGAATTTTTAACACCATAACATTAACTAACTACTCAATATGCAACTTTTCACCGCGTAGAATTTTAAAATATTAAGTTTGAAAATTCCATTTTTATAATGGAGCTCAATGGGAAAAAATACATAATTTGAATTATTTTCAAACGTAGCGGCGCGATTTTGATAAAATTGACAGATATAATAAATATTGGTAAGACAAAATGTTTGATGAAAAATGAAGAAAATTCACCGTCCTGGTTACGCAAACTATAGAAAAATCTGAAATAATCATAAAAACCTGTAAAAATAGATTGAAGGGGGTGATATTCATTTTTAATGTGCCTTTCACTACTACAGGGTAACCATAATTTTGGTACTGATTTGATTTTTCAATGAAAATCATTTCTATAGTGTATAGTCAGTTTAAATAATACAATTGGTATATTTCTTTACTGAACAGTGCAATCATTTATTTATTTATCAACAGTAATGCAAACTACATATTATACAGTTAGTAAGATATTAAAATAATTCTATTAAAATTAAAGCATTGCCAGAATGTGTTGACAGCTGGCAAAAAATTAAAGAATTTGAAGAAAAATAGCCACCCAATGAACACTTACACCTGCTAACTGCCACTTTGCAAAGAGTTTATTCAAGCAAGAAAACTATTTGGAAAAACGTAATTTCGGGTTGAACATGGTACCCACCACTCTGGTTACCTTAGCAACCATCTCTCAAGAACCAATCAAAATTGAGGTCCCAAAGGACCTTATACACCCTCCATTGGGATCTCCCCATGAAAAAGAAAATTTATCTGATTTTTCAAAATGAGTATTCGAGGTATATCCAGAATTATGGCAATGTCTATACTTTCTATACATTGTCTATACTTTCTATACTTTCGATCTCCTTTTTCATACTATCTGCCTTCGACGTTTCTATACTTTCTATACTTTCGAACTGCTTTTTCATACCAACTGCCTTTGACAAATCAGATGTCTATAGTTTCTATACTTTCGAAATGCCTTTTCATACTAACTGCCTTTGACAAAGCAGATGTCTATAGTTTCTATACTTTCTATACTTTCGATCTGCTTTTTCCTATAACTGTCTTAGACAAATCAGATGTCTATAGTTTCTATACTTTCGATCTGCTATTTCCCAGAACTGTCTTCGACAAATCAGATGTCTATAGTTTCTATACTTTCTATACTTTCGATCTGCTTTTTCTCATAACTGTCTTCGACAAATCAGATGTCTACAGTTTCTATACTTTCTATCTGCTTTTCACAAAACTGTCTTTGACAAATAAGATGTCTATAGTTTCTATACTTTCTATCTGCTATTTCCCAGAACTGTATTCGACATATCAGATGCATTCGATCTGCTTTTTCCCAGAAATGTCTTAGACAAATCAAATGTCTATAGTTTCTATACTTTCTATGCTTTTCCCAATAACTGTCTTCGACAAATCAGATGTCTATAGTTTCTATACTTTCTATACTTTCGATCTGCTTTTCCCCATAACTGTCTTCGACAAATCAAATGTCTATAGTTTCCATACTTTCGATCTGCTTTTCGAAATAACTGTCTTCGACAAAATCAGATGTCTATAGTTTCTATACTTTCGATCTGCTTTTCCCCATAACTGTCTTCGACAAATCAAATGTCTATAGTTTCTATACTTTCTATACTTTCGATCTGCTTTTCCCCATAACTGTCTTCGACAAATCAGATGTCTATAGTTTCTATACTTTCTATCTGCTTTTCCCCATAACTGTCTTCGACAAATCAGATGTTTTACAATGTATAGAAAGTATCGAAAGTATAGAAAGTATAGACATAGGGATTTCGCCAAAATGTAAAGTATAGAAAGTATCGGAAGTATAGACATAGGGAATTCACCAAAATCAAAAGTATAGACAGTATAGAAAGTATAGACATGTATAGACTTTAGAGAGTCCAATCGTCTAAGAATGAAAAAAGTATCATTAAAAAAAGCAGTTCGAAAGTATAGAAAGTATAGAATATGCCATAATTTTGGATATACATGGAGTATTCTGCTTTAATTATTAGACTCCAGATGTCAATCTGGAGTCTATTGTTTTTGCCAGTATTCTTATTCTTCTTCTTCTTATTATTCTTTAAGAGTTTTTTCAATAACTATAAGGTATCCAGTAAAGACCATAATACAGTTTATTTAGGTTCAGTATCTAGTTGGTGGGAAATTGGGTCAAATTTTTATCTAGGTCAAAGGTCAGGATCTGGGTCAAATCCAGTACTTTGTCACTTTTTTCGATTTTCTCAGTCGTCCTTCAATATTTTCGATCCGGGTTTTTTTCATTGTGTTCCTCATAAAGAAGTAGGAAATCTAGGGTCGATTTAGTTTTTTGATATCTCGAACCGATTTCGAGATATCAGTGTCCGAAAACGAGGTCCGAAAAAAAGTTCTCCGAATTCAATGTCAAGGGTATTCCCCTTATAGGAAATTTTCTCAGGATTCCGAATCTGAAAACCGAATTGAAATCCGACTTCCGGTTCAAAAGTTATGACGTTTTGAAAGTTCTAGAAAAATCGATCTGATGGTACCCTCATAGAAAGTCAAGAAAAGTGAAAAAAATTGAAAAAATACCAGTCCAGTCATTTCCAGGTCCAGGTCAAGGTCCAGTCCGAGTCCAAGTCCAGCGTTGGTCCAGGTTCAAGTCAAGTCTAGGTCTAAATCCAGTCCAGG